AAATATAAATTTATATTTTCATATAAATATTCAGAAACTTTTTATTAATTTATTTTTGAAATTCTATAATAGATATACTATATACATAAATATATACATAATGTGAACTTCATGCTAAATGTACACTAATATCATTAAATAAATACATTCTACAGCCAAAATTGGCCATTGTGTCTATGTTCTCGAGATCATATATGACAGAAAAATTATAATTTTTAATAGACGATGACAAATGTGAAACCTGCGCGGATATTCTCGAGGAATTAGAAACGATTGACGATGATACTGACAAACACGGTATTCAATTCGTCAAATCAAACGATGCTAAACTGGCGGCTGAAATCGGTGTTTTCTCCTTCCCGGCTCTCGTTTATTACGAGACCGGAGTCCCCATCATGTACGACGGTAAGTACCGAGAGCTTTAATTCTACTTTTTTTATTATCAAGCTTATCCTACCTTCTTCATATAATCCTTGTTTTTTGTCACGGAAAAGAAACAAGATTAAATTATTATACTTTTATGCTACGCGCGTTCTCCCTTTATTAAGTCACTCTTCACCACCTAAAAATAAATTGTCGTTAATTAACGAGAAGATTATAATGCAACAGAATTTCAGTAATAATGCAACGTGTTTAGTCCATCTTTAGTAATCAGATTAAAAGTCCCGGACTGCTCTCTCTATTAACTTTTCTTGAAAGTTATATCAATATATTATAAATTCGAACTTATAATCTCAGATCATAATGAAGAGTGACTTACCGCGTTCCTTTCAGCAATTTCCACGTCGATAAAGCGATAACGCGAAACATGACACTGACAATGATCACGGTGCGTTATCGAAGCTAGCTGATCCTGATACGCGTGTGTGCCTTTTGTAGGTAATCTTAAGAACGAGGACAGAGTTCTGGAATGGCTAATCGAACAGAAAAGTAAGGAGATTTCTAGGATGATGATTATTATTACTGGTGTACTGTTCTTTGTGACGTTAATCTCGGTCGTGACTATACCACCGGGCTACGAGTACAACACTCGCGCTGTGTTGATCACTCCGATCACGTTACCATCACGATTACTATGATTGCAATAATGATAAACAATAAAGAAGGAAAAAACGCAAATGAAACATCCGTCAAATCTAAGGGGATTTTCTGTAATCGTTTATTGCGTTGTATCTCGATTCGCGTAAAAAAGGATTAAAAAAAGGGTTCGATTCAAAGTGTGGGACGTCACGAAGCTCGGTGAAACGCGATTTTCAACATGCACGCTGGCTATATTATATTCTCACGGTATAATGCATTTAAATCACACTCGCAAGCTAATCTCACTTATATTTTGCCTTTTTTACTCGCTCTTTCATACTATTACGTGCTAGTATACTGCTACATCGACGCAATAATGCGGAACGTGTCACGTGATGCGTCGTACAAATCTTCCTAAGCCTATCTCGCGAAAGAAAGTGTTACGACGTGTCACCATTGAATTACAAATAACTTTATGAATTGCCCAAATATTTGAAGCTTTACATCTTGCAGCTTTCGGCGCACTAATAACGGCTGTTCTACTTCTTTTTTTATTTCTTTTTTTTTTGGACGCGTTTAACAAAGCTTTCGTGATTTAAATCAATATGAAGTATGTATCAAAGTCGCGAATCAGTTTGTAAATTGTGGAAACTTGAACTATAAAGCACATTTTTATTTCGGCAAATTGGAGAAAAAAATGTAATGCGAAAGATACACAAACATATAGATAAATTCGTATATTATAAATTTTATGTTTGTGTGGCAACTGATATCAGTATAAATATCATTGTTAATTAATATGTTTATATATTGTTATTCTTAAATTATTTGAGTAGAATATAATTCTATTTGTAAGTTTTCTTAAGCACGATTGCTGCATCATATAAGTCCATACAGTGGACACTTTGATTATCTAAGCCTATTTTATTCATATTCGTATGATAAACGTGAAAACTGTAAATGTTGTAGAAATGAGGTAGAAAATGGGGGTAAAAACATATTTTTTTTTACATAATAAAATATAACAATTTTGCGTATGTAACAGAATTTCGGGAATGTTTAATGTTATGCGTCTATAACGTTTGTCATTTAAAAAATTTTTTATGCATGTCATCCCTTTGGACCGAGGCCATATCGATCACAAAAAACCTACGTACACAATTCGGTTTTAAATCGCGCTGTATATTATCCATGATCCGTTAATATGCAGATGATGATGATGATGATGATGATGATGATGATGATGATGTTGATGATAATAATAATGATGATAATGATGATGATGATGATGATGACGATGACGACGACGACGACGAAGACGACGACGATAACGACGACAACGATGACGAAGACGACGACGATGACAATGATGACGACGACGATGATGATGATGATGATGATGATGATGATGATGATGATGACGATGACGACGACGAAGATAGCGACAAAAATAATAAAAAATCAAACAAAGTTCTGAAGAAAATCCTGGACAAAGGTAAAGGCCCAACGACAACCCAGGAGGCCGAAGAGGAGCTCACGTGAGATCGAAGTGTGACGGGCTTTGTGTTGCGCGAAAGACAGAAATTATACAATGATATCCTAAAAACAGTAGAGAAATGTATACCAATAGATCGATTGGTATTCACTATAACAACGTAATTTAGATGAAAGTTGGCTGTTCACTCACCATTCACGGTAGAACTGGGAGGTGTAGGACATACCTGCATGAACCTATTGTCATCATATTTTACGTACTCACACTAGCAAAGTGCATCCATATGCCTGAATTACCTCCCAATCGGTCATCAGTTTCCTCAAAATTCCTAAATCTTTTTCGCGTAATGCATGCCCGCCTTATAACAATCCTTCTTTGACGGAGCTACGCAACCAAGCATTATCATAAATTATTTTTAATTCGTAATTTCGACGTAAGATCTTTTGATATTTTAATATAAAATATATTAATTTGATTGAGTATATTTTATTTACATAACGAAATGTCATGTTTAATTTTTTTTTAAAGAAAATTAAATACTTCGAAAAATTTACGGTGCGTAGCTCCTATTTTGTTTGCATTTTTATCAATTGAAATACGAGCCTCTCCGAAGCGAGCCGATGGTTTCTGTTGACAGCTGTCGTCTGCAGCGAATTACGAGTCGAAAGAAATCGGACTAGTCTCCGTTAAAAAAAAAAAAGAAAAATAGCATTGCTAAATAATTTTGGATTAACACGAGACAGTTCGCGAAGTAATTTATGGCATTAATTTTTTGTAATAAACGTATATATTTCTTATTCAATATTAAATAAACAATATAGAAAACGCAATCGTATGTAAAAGTCATGAAGAGGAGGCTGGTTCACGTTTGAACGGTTATCTAGAAAGAGTCGTCGACTCGCCGCGAGAATTCTCTATTAAAACATTGTATATTAAAAACATGCACGTTTGGCTTTTGCTAAGCAATTGGGATTGCAGTGGAACATTCTCTATGCGCTAGCAACGTCGAGATCGCACGAGTCAATATATTTTCGTTTCACCTTGATTCTCTCTTTTTTTTATTTGTTTTCAATGTTCTCATTAATTTCCCTTTTTTTCCTCCTTTTTTGTCATTCTGCCTATTTGTTCCATTATATTCACTTCGATCATTTTTATCCGTGGTCCTATTTTTATTATTTAATTCAGATTGACTCGTGCGACGAGACCAATCAGTCATAGGCTAGCCAATTCTTATAAATCTCTCATTCTCCTTGTATCTGACTCGTTATATATTTGCTTACTGCAGGCGACGGCTGTTTCTACATCGGGATGGGAGGTAAAAGCGCGAAACCCAAGATTCCCTCCTATGAGCCCTACCAGTGCTGTCCCACCAAGCTCGGCCACGGCACCAAGGTCGCCAAGGTCACCAAAATCGGCCCGATTACCAAGGACAAGAGCAAATTTCAAGGTACCGGCAGAACGGATAAGCCACTACTGCCGGCTTTGAAGCCAATAAACAAGCTTACGGCCAAGGAGAGCAAAAAATCAGCGACGATATCGAGAATCGACAACGACGCAAAGGAATCCAAGTCCAAGGCCAAAAGAGGATTTTTCGGAAGCGGTAAATATTTTAACCGGCCACGAAGTTAAATGGCTGCCCACGCGTACGGTCCATCACTTTGGCAAGCTAAAACGTAAACAGGAAAAATAAATTTTCATCGACGATCGTCGCATTGATTTTTTCCGAATGAAAATGGAATCGGATAACAAATGTGCAAATAAATTGAATCGAAAGGTAAGAACGATTAGATCGTCTGCTGTGGGTAGCGATTTAACAAGTTGTTTTTTTTTTCCGAAAAGATAACGAGCGATGAACGCGATAAATGCTTAGTATAACAGACGGGAAAGGAAATAGTGAGCTCGAAGATAGATTTTTCTGAGGCCGAGCCACCCGGCACGGAGAAGGTTCGCCGCAGCGGAAATAAGATCACGGTCACCTGACTTTCCGTCCTCGTATCTCGGATGCAGGTACCTCGCGGGTCTCGCGCGATCCATGAAGAGCGTCAACGACGCACAACTTCCGGACGAGCAAGACGATCGAAGAATCGACACGTGACTTCCACGCGGCTCTGGCACCAGCACCGGCTGAATTCTCCGAGTCCTCGAGTCGTCAGAATAACGGGCATCGATTTATTTGACGTGCCGATTGATTTGCTTTATCGGACTATCAATGATTCGGCCAACCATTCTCAGAGTGTAATTCTTTATCGTAGTAATTCGATGATGGAGCTAAGGTTATTTACGAATCACAAGAAGCTGCGCTCGTCTAAACAATTAGCA